CGCAGCCTTCAAGGTTATGATAGTTTAACCATGCTGTACTTGAAGTTTTTCTACTAGGGCCAAACCTATATGTCCCGTGATGTTCGATGTTTGTGGGGTGGATTGAGCGGCTCGGTACATGTCGACACCAGTTACCTACCGCCGCTTGTCTATTACTCTTACGAGCAGTTGCGGGTAATTTAATGGCTGGGCAAATGCGACGGCTGTGTTCGATAGTCATTACCCATCGAATCGCACGGAGCGAGTAGTGCGAATTAATACGGCTTGCAAAGGCGTTCTCGGCATCCGCATGGGACGAACTGAGAATGCAGGCACTCGTGCCACTTAAACACATTGCATGATTATCCATGAACGCGTCATCATCGGGTTGTCCGTGCGTGGAACCCCTGTTTCCCGCTCCGCTCGGGGTCGGTCGCCGGTGGCCGGGTGCCCCGCAGGTGCGGGCCCCTGGGCGCGCCGCTGGTGACGGCCGTCCGTCGCCCGGCTCCGTTATTGACGTGCGTGAGCGGCGGTGGTACGTTGCCGGGCGGCCGCGGCGGCCCAGTCGGCCCCTGGCTCCCGCCACGTGTGCCCGCCGACCGCGCCCCCCAGGTAAGTCGGCTCCTCACCCCTGCCGGGTCACAGGTCGGGGCCGCACCGCCGCCCACGGCGACGCCTGTAGCTCCGACCCAGCGGCAGGTACGAGCGTGGCAGAGGACGCCCGGCCTGTGCCGCCGTCCACAGACATTTTTTTTTACGATTACGCTGAAAGATGACGAGCTTTGGATGTTGTTTTTTTGGCACTTGCCTGTACTAGTCGACCGCGTTTATTGTGCGGTATCCTGGTGAACTGAGTGGAACACTACTGCACGTGGTTTGCGTGTCTCATGCAGCTGTTTACCATTTGTTTGTGATCACTGCCCTATCATAAGCCCTTCTCCACGTGCTCCGTTTAAAGTGATGCCAGAGATGCAGTGCTAATGACGCCATGCCTATTCCGACGACGACATAACCTAGCGTTGTTTGACACCTGCATTCGTGTTTTAGCCACACTCTCTGTACTGGTGCCGCGGGTTCACTTGGTAGTAGGTGGGCGGTATCGTCAGCTAGAGTGCCACTCTAAAGAACTAGCGAAAGTGTTCGTGGCCCTTAGCGCTCCATGCACCTGGGTCCGGGAACCACGAGTATTGGATGGATTAGTTGTGCGATGTACGCCCTGGGCCGTGATTACATTTTGATCGTCTGACACAAATGTCATGTGATGGAATGCAAGGAAAAGTACTTGAGTGTTCGCGTTTTGAGTTCACGGTACCTGCAATGTAATAATGTTCCAGTGCGTTGAGGAAAGCCATCGACGATAATCCGCAATTAATAGACACTAAATTATTATGACCAGTTGAGCGCCCTTCCTTTTCCTTTACGTTAAGTTGGAGATTCAAGTATTTCGTTGTTACCTATGACTATGAAGCTTCAAGTGCCACAAACCAATTTCCAAAAACATTGGCATCATAGGCTATTGCCGCTTTTTTGAAGATACGCCTGAATTTTTCATATTAGTTTCGTGGGCTGCCTTACGGGGTGGCATTTGCTTTGCGTTATTTTGTCGATAAAAAGACGTATCTGTTAAATCAGCACGTGACTTCAGCGACTCTTCCAAGCAACGTCGCAACGGTCTCTAGCCCGCTCAGTTCACTTCTCTCTTCCGTCATCGCAGCCAACCGTGCGGCCAGCTTTCGTGCCGCTCGGTCCTGCCCGGTCCCGGCCCGTCATAATGCCGAGTGCCGACCGGCGACAGCGTCTCAGTCCGAGCGCGTGCGCCGCTCCCACCTGGTCACATTTGTCCGCCCTTGTTAGTCGTGTCATCGGCGCGCCATCGGGCCGATCGGACGCGCGCCGACGGCACGCTGCCCGTCGCACCGTGTCGGCGCGGCAGCGGCTGCCGACGCGACGGGCCTTACGGCCGGCCACGCCTTGCGGCTGTCGTGATCGAGCCGGCTGTGGAGTGGTCGGGCCGGACCCGAATGGCCGGCGCCAGGGCCGCGGCCGCCCCGGCCCGGCAACGAGGCTGCCAAAGTGGGGCTGGACGGGCGTTATGGCCGGTGGGCAGGCCCGGGCAAATTGCTGGCTGCCGTGCTGGTCAACTCACTGACGCCCACGCACGCAGGCGAGGGCGATGTGGACCTGTACGCCCCAATTACCGGCACTTCTACGTGCTAGGGTACATGCCAGTTGGTGCCGGCTTTAATGGTGACTTATGCGACTGTTCATCAGAGTAGAATAGATTGATCTCAAGTGATTTGACACGATAATAACATTCCTGGCCTTCCAGAATCGTAACTTGTATTTTTTTTCGTAGATGCTAACTTTGTTTTGCCTTAAGGCGTTTCGCGGACCAACTCGTGTTTTATCGAGCGTTACGCTAACAACTCACACGATTTATGTTGGCGGATACGTACGCATTTGAGCAGCATGATCAAATTAGAGATTCCACCGAGCTGTGCAAAAAATGGTGGATAACAAGACAAATGCATTGCTGCTATCTGTGCACGAAAAAGCTATGCGCATATAAATTGGATGGTACACTACCACTATCAAGCCTAGCCAAGCCTAAGAAAAATGTAGCTAATAAACTATTGACATTATCAAAAATTGTGTAGGTTATTCGAACATTGCTGTGACGACAAAAACGGCGCAACATCCTGCTGCAAAATGGCATCTGTCTGCAGTGAGGTCCATATTGTAAAGGCTGTTGACATGAATACCCTTATGACTGAGCGATCCCCCATTGTGGGTGTTCCAGCACTGATGCATTACTGGGGACGTGGGCGTGGTATCCACTCTCCCGACTACATCACTGGGGACGTGGGCGTGATATCCACTCTCCCGACTACATCACTGGGGACGTGGGCGTGATACCCACTCCCCCGACTACATCACTGGGGACGTGGTCGTGGTGTCCACTCTCCCGACTACATCACTGGGGACGTGGTCGTGGTTTCCACTCTCCCGACTGCATCACTGGGGACGTGGTCGTGGTGTGTACTCTCCCGACTGCATCACTGGGGACGTGGTCGTGGTGTCCACCCTCCCGACTACATCACTGGGGACGTGGGCGTGGTGTCCACTCCCCCGACTACATCACTGGGGACGTGGGCGTGGTGTCCACTCCTCCGACTACATCACTGGGGACGTGGGCGTGGTGTCCACTCCTCCGACTACATCACTGGGGACGTGGGCGTGATATCCACTCTTCCGACTACATCACTGGGTACGTGGGCGTGGCGTCCACTCCCCCGACTACATCACTGGGGACGTGGTCGTGGTGTCCACTCTCCCGACTACATCACTGGGGACGTGGGCGTGATATCCACTCTCCCGACTACATCACTGGGGACGTGGGCGTGATATCCACTCTCCCGACTACATCACTGGGGACGTGGGCGTGGTGTCCACTCTTCCGACTACATCACTGGGGACGTGGGCGTGGTATCCACTCTCCCGACTACATCACTGGGTACGTGGTCGTGGTATCCGCTCTCCCGACTACATCACTGGGGACGTGGTCGTGGTGTCCACTCTCCCGACTGCATCACTGGGCACGTGGGCGTGGCGTCCACTCCCCCGACTACATCACTGGGGACGTGGTCGTGGTGTCCACTCTCCCGACTACATCACTGGGGACGTGGGCGTGATATCCACTCTCCCGACTACATCACTGGGGACGTGGGCGTGATATCCACTCTCCCGACTACATCACTGGGGACGTGGGCGTGGTGTCCACTCTTCCGACTACATCACTGGGGACGTGGGCGTGGTATCCACTCTCCCGACTACATCACTGGGGACGTGGTCGTGGTGTCCACTCTCCCGACTACATCACTGGGTACGTGGTCGTGTTGTCTACTCTCCCGACTACATCACTGTGGACGTGGTCGTGGTGTCCACTCTCCCGACTACATCACTGGGGACGTGGGCGTGGTATCCAACTCCCGACTACATCACTAGGGACGCGCACGTGGTGTCCACTCCCCTGACTACATCACTGGGGACGTGGGTCGTGGTATCCGCTCTCCCGACTACATCACTAGGGACGCGGACGTGGTGTCCACTCCCCCGACTACATCACTGGGGACGTGGGCGTGGTGTTCACTCTGCGGAGTACAAGTGCCGGCCGGTCTCGGCGGCGTCGGCTCCGGTCGAGGAGCAGGTTCATTGATATCGGTGCCGGTCTGCGCGGCTGCTCGCTCCGAGCTCTGAATTAGTAACGCGGCCCACTCCGCCCTGGCCTAGTAACTGCGGGCTGACTACCGACGATCTCACGAAACCACTGCCGGCTCTGCTGTGCGCGCCATAGGACGCGGCGGAGTGCGTTCCCTGTACCCCACCTTTAGCATGTTCCTCCTTGCCGCTTTCTGTCTGGCATTCCGGCTTGAGAACGGCACTCTTTGCCGCGATCTTCTGGCAGGTCTTCAGCTTATGAATTCCCCTCAAATACGTCCAGTTATTGACCACACCGCCCACAGTTCCGACCTAAACCCTCTACAGTGCAGCGTTCCAGGTGGCCAACGCAGTGCGTCATCGCGTCCCCCACCGCGTCCGCCGAGCGGGCTGGCCTGCAACTCGCCTCTGCTCCGGCCGTGTCTTCCTGTCCGCTGTGTCTCCACTCCAGCCGTGTCTATCTCCGCTCCGGCCTTGTCTCCCTGTCCGCCGCCGTGTCTTCGCTCCAGCCGTGTCTCCCTGTCCGCTGCCGTGTCTCCGCTTTGACCGTGTCTCCCTGTCCGCTGCTGTGTCTTCTCTCCGGCCATGTCTCCCTGTCCGCCGCTGTGTCTTCGCTCCAGCCGTGTCTCCCTGTCCGCTGCTGTGTCTTCGCTCCAGCCGTGTCTCCCGGTCCGCTGCTGTGCCTCCTCTCCGGCCATGTGTCCCTGCCCGCTGCTGTGTCTTCGCTCCAGCCGTGTCTCCCTGTCCGCCACTGTGTCTCCCTGACGCTGCCGCTCGCCCCCCCCCCCCCCCCCCTCCCCCAGCCCCGTCATCGTCTGCGTGGGTCGCCACCAACCGCTGAGCCGCGTCTGCCGGCCGCTATCCCGTGACCGTCGGCCCGCCGGTGTATGGCCGGCGGCGCCCGTCTGCTGCGCCTCCTCCTCCGCCGGGTCAAGCTCCTGCTTCGCTCGCAGAGGCTCACGCACCGGCCACAGGTCAGTCGAGTGCGACACTGCGGGAGACATTGTAACCGGCTGGCTGTGCGAGGCTACGCTTTTTATTGAGGGCCTGTGGCATGTGTTTCCTACTTGGTTATGGACGTGTTTAATGGACAACGAGTAGGTAAGTTGATGTGGTGTCAGCAGAGTTGGCTGAAACGGCTGTAACAGGTTTTGCTAGCTGGTTTTATCGGTTAAACCCTGTTAACAAAAAGTGCTGTTGAAAAAGCTGGCAGAAACTACGTAAGCTGTTCAGTGCGTTAGCGAGGAACGTTATTCGCATAGATAAGACAGTAGCAATAGCCTTATTCCCCGGAGAAAAAAACAGGAGAACGGGGAGAATAGTTGGGTTGATTGATTTGGGCAACATGCCTCTATCGAAACATTAGCAGAACTGGATTAGACATTGCTTGCCCATAATCCTACTCGATTTTTCAGTTTTTTTTTTGTATTTGCTTTGAAACAGCAAGCTACACTTTTTACAGGATACCATTCATGGGATTAAACAAAGAGCGATTGCCAGCCATTACTACGATACAGTGCGTATCTAAGAATTCGAGTACGCGAATATACGGGTACACGCAAACACGTGTATTCGTGTACACGTGCATGTTCACGCATATTCGTGTATTCTACTGCTCATTCGTGTGCACGAATATACGTGTTTGCAGGCTCACATATATTCGCGTGTTCTAATTCGTATATAGGCACCGTAACACGATAATGGGTGGCAATCGCTCTTTGTTTTATCCCCAGAATGTTAGTGTCCTGTAAAAACTGTGGGTTGCTGTTTCAAAAAACCTCAAAAATCGAGTAGAACCATCGGCAGGCAATTTTGAATTCACTTCTGCTATTGTTTCGATAAAAGCATGTTGCCGAAATATCAACCCAACTATATCTCCACTCTCCTGTTTTTTCTCCGAGGAATAAAGGCATGACGACTGTCTCATCTAAACTGGCAGAAACTTACAAAAGCTCAATTAGGCCAAATTATGTTATAACTAAACAAACATGGAGTGCAGGTTCAGCATTTCTGGTGCCGATACGGTATTAACATCAGAAAATCAAAGTAAGCAAAAGGTCTGGCTGGCAGAAAGACTGCCGCGTCATCCGGCACAAATGAAATTGCAAATGCAGCAATGTTGCATCAGTTTGTATTGGTTTAAACATTATGTGTGTAAAATGTGGGATATCAACGAGTACCTTTGTCCCAAAACACACTTGAATGTTTTCACTATATTTGAAACCTTAAGGTGCATGTTGTTACGCTTCTTCACGAACTTTTGGGTACTTTATACCTCTGATAGATAGCACATCACAGTTGTGTGGTGTACGGCGAGCAGCAGTTGTGCGCCACAAAAGCCATGACCAACGCGCATGGGTCGCATATGTAGAAACTAATTGGTTCGCTTGTTGACTACAAATGCATCCAAGTTGTGATCACTACTTTGAACGGATGCTGTTTGATGAAATTGGAATCATGATGACTATAGCTTGGTGACATTGATCAAATGTGGAATATCATGTTTTCAAGTTTCCTATCAGTTTATGGCGGTGTCAACCGGTAGAAAAAATGTGACATCCTGGTTTCAGCTGGTGGAAATGCCAATCCTGCGTTTCAGCGGTGATGGTTTTTTATAGATATGCCAGCCGCCCTGTGACTGCAAATAGCAAACGCTTCTGGCTTCGGTTAGCCCGACGGGCTTACGTCGGAGTGCCTGTAGTGTAGTGGTTAAACGCGTCTGTGTTAACCACCGCGCGTCTGGGAAACCAGAGGTACGGGGTTCGATTCCCCGCGGTGCCCGCCCTTCCTGCCAGGGTGAGAGGTAGGCGACGCCATATAGCCTCAGCAGCTGAGTGCGTCGTAAAGCCCCAATGACACACACTGACACACGCGGGCTTACGTCATCGGCGCCTGGGTCGTACGTGTCTGCAGAAACGACTGAGGCCGGGATGGGCGCTGGCCGGTCCGCTGAGAGCCGCGGGTTGGTCGGGTGCTAGCGTGCCTCTGCTGCGGACGGAGGTCAGTGACGTCACCACCGGGAGGCGCTGACGTCACGCACTGAGAGTGTTACTGGGTGCAGTGGGAACACCACAGAGCAGTCCACGGGCAATCGTGTGCAGAGGTAGTCATGCGCGAAGGAATGTTTCGAACAGGACTTAGTCTCATTTCTGCTACGGGGAGACACATGGTCACATGGTAATTTCCGGGAATCGTTAGCCGCGGCGAGAGTGGGTGTCAAAGCAGTGAAATAACACCGAACACGAAATTCTGGATGATATTGACCTGCGTTGCTGTCCTACCACCGTACCCTTCCCTTCCCTTCACTGTGGATTGGTTGCCACTGCTTTGTCAATGTTTGGCCGCGATCTTGATAGTTACCACGGGGATATTGGCAGTGCGCACAAACAGCCCAGCGGAACACGTGCAAGTATTTTTCTTGGAACACCCCAGCCGTGCCTGTCATTTGCATCCATTTCATAGTGAATGGCCCCCTGCCTGCAGCTCAAAACTAGGTGCTTCCAGCGGCCGGCATGGCCGCAGCAATGGCGGCTCCACGAACCTTTCCGGAGGTGGGAAAACAGTTTTTTTTTGTCACGTGCGCTCCCCATGCTAAGGGGCCTCCACAATGCAAAGAGGATCTCCGTAACGCGTAGTGACCCAACACACATGAATCACCACAGTGATTCCACTTTTGCATAACAAGTCGTCGTACGTCCGTTTTGCTGAACACAGGGACGGCGTGGCGTTACTGATGGCTGACATGCTTCTACTTCATGGCGACTTCCACCGTAAATGGGGCGCTTAAGCTTAAGGGTCTCCCGGCGCGTTGCTGCCTATGTCTGGCACTGTTGGGTTATGCAATACGTAAGTATGCCTGCAGACATTTCCCAGCAGCTCTGTCGATGGCGGAGTTAGTAGTGTTCCAGCTTATGCAAAGTCCTCTGTCATTCTTTTAAGGCGCAGGCGATCCAAGCTTTTCGATTTGCATTTGGAAAGAAAGTGAAACACATTTTAGACTTTGCGATTCGTGAAATTCTACTTTTCATATATTTCCAAAAGCATTCAGCACGTTTGTATTAGTGATCTTTAGATTACCGCCGCAGCAATATGATTAGAACTTAAGCCTTTCGATGATGTCATTTAAGGACACTGGCCTCTCCGTCATCACGGGCCTGTTTCTATTGATGAGAGAGACCACCTCTTACCCCGCTACTCCGATGGGGGCCTCCTGGCCTACTGCATGGTGACCTCATCTGGTCATGGCGAGGGCCTCCTGCAGTATCATGTGCCCCGACCATGTGACGTCTCCCAGATCGGGGCGGGTCCTGTCCTCGATGACGATAAGGGTCTTCCCCCGCGCCTTGGCACACCATCACCTAGGCTACCTCACTTTGCTGCCACATGCAAGTTTTTATAACCAGAACATCACTTCGATTATTAAGATATTCCGTTGTGGGTCAGTGACGATGCCCCTGACCGCATCGTTACCGCTGAGCAGAGACATGTGCCTATCGCTGTACCAAAGAGCCTCCAGAAATTTCGGCGCGGTCAAACGTGTATGTCCTCCCCACCCTTCTGCCGGCCCGGTGGGCGGTCGCGCAGCCCGTCTGCCGGCCCGATGAACGGACATCCAGCCTGCCCAACCAGTGGCGCGTCCGTGAGCTCGCCGGTCCTCGCCGTGACGCCCGGTTCCGGCCTCGGCCGGCGCTAGGTCGGCCATGTTTGCTCTGCGTTCTCCCGCGTGCATGTCGCCGCCATTCTGGGGCAGAGTCTTCCCCATTCCGGTGACGGCCCGTAGCTGACACTGGTCTGATTACATATTCCTGGCCTTATTACCAGCTCCCTTCACGGCATTTCTGCGGTAACTCGTCGGCGGGCCGTGGTCGAAGCTGAAACACGGCAGGCGATGACAGCGCCACATGTGGCTGAACAGCGAAGGTAGTCCTATAAGTTCAGCTGCTAGATGTCGCCAATACACGGGCACAGTAAGGAAGGGCTGCGTGGTGCTTGGATTTCCTCGGCTGCTGGGCCAATCCACCAAGCAGATGTGGTTGAGATAGGCTTGAGATTGTTCTGCGCGGCGTGGAACTCAACCATAGTTTACTGGCGTGCGTGCGTGCGTGCGTGCGTGCGTGCGTGCGCGTGCGTGCGTGCGTGCGTGCGTGCGTGCGTGCGTGCGTGCGTGCGCGTGTGCGTGTGTGTGTGTGTGTGTGTGTGTGTGTGTGTGTGTGTGTGTGTGTGTGTGTGTGTGTGTGTGTGTGTGTGTGTGTGTGTGTGTGTGTGTGTGTGTGTGTGTGTGTGTGTTCCTTTAGTTCAACTTCTCACATGTTATAGACCCCACGATTTGGAAGCCATAGCATGCCAATATATCCGTCGTCGCGACGCACGATGCCACGCCAACGCGGAAACTGTTCAATGCTATGAATTGTTGGGTACACAGAGATCCGAGAAATATGTTTCGATCGCGAGTTCCGTCTGGTGTAATTTTGACCTTTTTCGTGCTGCCCCAAGTCACGAGACATACCTTGGTCTTCGGTCGAATGGTAATAGCTCATTTGGCACAGTATTATTACTTGGTTATGACTTATGACATTGAATGGCAGGGTGCAAAACGACCACTGAAGTCGAAGTGCCATAAACGTTGTTGATTGCGGACGCTTGTGATTAGGTCAAATTCAGGGACAGGGAATATGTGAGTTTAAGACGAAGCAGAACTTTAACATCCAGGCTTCACGCGTCAGGCACTAGGTGCCACGATCAGCGAAGCTGCAAGAGCGATGAGGAGAAAGTGCTGCGTTAGAGAAAAAGCATTAAACCACATGAAATCCATGATGGGCAAATAGTGTGTGAGGCGCAGCTCATTTTGTAGGATTCCCTTGTACGAGTTGTCTGCTGCAATGTTTTGTTTTGATGATGATGCAGGGCCTCGCTCTCACCTCGATGTTTTTGTCAATGATTCAGGAGCAACTTGTTCCTCGTAATGCAGCTACTA